CCCTTGTTGGGAGGAGGCTCCGAGTGAGGAGGAGGAGCGGCTGGGCCTTGTGCTGCGGCAGGGCAGGGAGTGCGGATCAGGTACTGCTTGTCTCCCAGGCAGGGCCTCAGAAGCAGCTCCTGCAGGCTTCACTATGACCCCCCTTGCAGCTGGCTGGGGGCGAAGGACCTGCAGACCAGCACCCCACACACTCAGCAACGGCATCCCGCTGCAGCCGGCAGGGGTCCCGGAGGCTGCGGTGAGACCGCCCAGGCTGCAGCATTTTACTGCTGCACGCACTGCGGGAAGATCTTCTGGGAGGGGGCCCACCTGGGCTGGGCCACCCTACACTTCCGGGACATCCTAGCAGATGCCCCCAGCCCAGCCTCAGCTCCTCCCAAGGGACGAGCAGCCAGAGGCAGTGGGACAATAAATAAAAAATGACCAATGGAGCTGGACGCCGGTGGCTCACGCCTGTCATCCTAGCTACTGAGGAGGCTGAGCTCTGAGGATCATGGTTTAAAGCCAACCCGGGCAGGAAAGTCCGTGAGACTCTAATCTCCAGGAAACCAGCAGAAAACCAGAAGTGGTGTTGTGGCTCAAATGGTAGAGTGCTCGCCTTCAGCTGAAGAGCTGAGGGACAGAGCCCAGGCCCAGAGTTCATGCCCCACAACCAGTAACAACAAAAAAGAACAATGGCCAGTCATCAGTGGCTCACACCTGTCACCCTAGCTACTCAGGAGGCTGCGATCTGAGGATCTCGGTTCAAAGCCAGCCCAGGCAGAAAAGTTAGTTAGACCCTTTAATTCACCACCATAAAAAGCTTGAAGTGGGGTGACTTTGTCTAAAAAAAAATGTAGTCTTTACCTGACTTACATGACTGTAATTCCTCCGTACATCACCTTTATAATAGCAATAAAAATGTACAACAAAAAGTCAGCAGTACACATGGTAGAGAGAAAAAAAGGTGGATGGATGAAAAGCTCAGGGGTGGTGCCCAGACGAGTTCAAGTCCCAGGCCCTCTCCCCCCCCCCTGCAGTGTGGCCTTGTGTGTTTGCTCAGCACTTGTACCACATGGCCACCGGCTTCAAGACGGCAGTCCTCACACGTACACGCACGCGTGCGCAGCTCCTCAGGGAGAAGAGCAGCGTCGGCATGGGTGCCTGACCATCCCGCCAAGGACTCCCATCCAGCCCCTCCCTGGCCACCTGCGTGAATGGTCCTACGGCTGCGTCTTTCCTTGAGGGAGCCGAGGCCTGAGCAGCCACTGCTGACCACCCTGAGCACGCTGGGCAGGCTGGTGCCAGACAGGGCACCCAATCGCAGAAATGGAGGGCCAGAGGTGAGGGTCAGAAGGCCCGGCCTGGGCTCCAGCTTGGTCTTCCTCTGCTTCCTGCCCTCAGGGGAGCCCAGCGCAGAGCTGAGGTGCCTCCTGGGACCCTCCACACAATGGGCAGCCCGGGGCTCTCAGAGGGGCGCCCACTGCGGAGGGCTTGTGGGGGAGCAGGCCCCATTCGAGAAGCACCTACAAGCCCCAGTTCAGGAGCAAGGACCTAAGGCAACACCAAGCCGACCTCTGCCACCCTCCCTGGAGCCCCCAACCACGCCAGAGCAGTGGTGCCCTGGGAGCTGCAGCCTGCCATTCAGCCCCGGCAAGCTGCAGGTTCCATTCCCAGTCGGGGAGAACAGGGCTTAGAGAGGGCAGAGGTCCGGGCTGGGGCTCCCTGCCCTGTCTGGACCCCAGTTTGGTCTGGGATCAGCCTCAGGGGGAGGCGTGCCAGCGAAAGCCAGTGTCCTGGGCTGAGGATGGTCACCTCACTGACCAGCCAGCCAGGGCCTGTGGTGCCGGCCACGCTAGCGGCCAGCCGGCAGAGATTGTCTGCCGCAGTTCCCGCCGGGCTCCTTCCTCTGCTCTGGCCTGTGCTGGCGGGGCCCAGTGTTTGTTATTTGATTCCTCTTCTTGCTCAGCCCCTCTACCAGGTGTCTGGGCTGCTGGGAAGAAACACTCTCCTCTTTCCCACGCTCCCCGACACATTTTAATGAATTAGCTGGAAGCCCCTCCTCCCTGCCCGCCGGCCGCCCTCCCCTGCTCAGTCCTTTAAGGTGGCCGCGAGCTCCGCCCTGCTCTGGCCAGCTGTCCCGTCTGCACTGTCCTTCCTCGGCCCTTCTAGATTGCTTCCACTGCCCCACCCAGACAGCCCCCGGCCAGGTCCCAGAATGCTCCCCACTCTGCCCCTTCACGAGAATTGCCCCACCTCGGCCAGTTGCTGCCCTAAGAAGGAAGGGCAGGGGCGGGGGCCTAGAGAGAGAAGAGGCCCTCATTGTGGCCTTCGGGGGATGGCGGCGGGTGGGCAGTGTGCCCTCAGAATAGGGAGGAGGTGACTGGCAGAGTCCAGCCTGCGAGTCTCCCTAGGTCCGGGCAAGGGTCACAGATAGGAAGATGCAGAGACGCTGGGTCCTCCGGCAGCCTGGCTGGACCCAAGCGCACACCCTCCAGTCCCCTTTCCCCCAGCAGCATCTGGAACAAATGTCCACCTTTTGTTCGTGTCCCTCTGTAAACATTTGGGTGGTGCTTGCTGGGAGCCAGGGCCCCAAAGCCCCCCACTCCCCAACCTCAAATTTGGCAGTGTCCAGAAAGACACTGTGTGAGCCCAGCAACCTGGAGACAATCGCCGCCGCTGGTCTCAGGGAGCAGGAGCCGAGGACTGCGTGGCCCCGGGGGAGCCGGTGTGGGCCCGTCCTAGCTGTACGGCCACGCCGGTGTGACCCCTGGCCCCTGACCCGGCACGGTGACCTCGGTGTAGGCTCCCACTAGGGCAGAACTGCCACATCAGCCAGACCATCCCGCCCAGGGCTGGCCGGGACGGCCGCCGATTTCACGGCCCATGGCGGCCTGGGGTTCCCACACTTGGTTCACACAGGCGCCTTTGTCTGCCGCCTGCTGCGGTGGGAGCCGCACTTTGCTCCCAGGCCGGCCGCGGGCTGCGTCCCCACGGAGCCCCCGCAGGGACAGCCCTGGGCCGACGCTCCGGAGCGCGCGTGGGCTCGGGGTTAGATGCGCCCCGAATCCCAGAAGACCAGTGCGGTCTGAGGGGCCCGGGAGGCCCGCCAGGCGGGGCTGCCCCGCAGGCAGGCCCTGGTCCGCGAAGGCGCTCCCGCACGGCCCCGCAC